TTCAATTCTGCTACCTCTTTGTTATCATGGTTATAGCCAAACCCCGTAATGAGCAAATGATTTATACTTTTATCAAGAGTTTTTTTATGAGGCTGGTAAAAACTTTTTATTTTGCTCATTTTTTCTGTTATCATGGTTATTACCAAACTCATCAATCAGCATGTGTTGATATATTTATCAAGATCTCCTTAATCAGACTACAGAAAATCGTCAATTCTACACCTTTTGTTTTGTTATCATGATTATAGCTAAACTCATTAATCAACAAATGATTTATACGTTTATCAAGAGCTTTTTTATCAGGCTTCAGAAAACCGTCAATTTTTCTCATTTTTTTTGTTATTATTGTTTTAGTCAAACTTATCAATGAATAAATGATTTCTACGTTTATCAAGAGCTCTTTCATCATACTGCAAAAAAGTCATCGATTTTGCTCATTTTTTGTTATCATGGTTATAGCCAAACTCATCAATCAGCAAATGATTTCTACTTTTATCAAACTCTTTCATCTGGCTTTTTAGAAGTGAATCAAAATTATGTTGTTGAGAACAATATTTTAAGCTTACTTCTTTGTGAAACGTCACAATTATCTTTTTAATAAATATTTGGAAATTAACTAATAAAAATATTCACCGAGGAGTTAGTGATTTTATCTAGATCTAAACCTAAAATTGCACAATCTATACTCAGAAGAATTGATAATTAACTGACAAAAAAAAACATTGTTGTCTTCTACTGTTTTAATTTTATGACAATTATGCCCCTAACTTATATTAAACTAAGAATTGAAATCCTGCAAAAAATTAAATCGAGCAAATAGAGATGCGGCGGTGACGATTCGTCGATGCTCTCTAATCACGACGATCTACACGAGATAGCACATCCACTCATCGGCAACATCATCGTAATGCCGCCGTGTTCATTCCGGTTCGTCGAGTCGTGACAAGCAATTTTTTTAGTTCTCGTCAGTGAATGTAATTGTAGTGATGGTGGCTATGATATCGGCGAAGAGTTTTACAGTGGTGCCACCGCTAGAACACTACTCTGACGCTATGATTCTTCAATTGTTTTGTTTCATGATTTGGAGAAAAGTATTCGAAAAGAAGGAGAAGAAAAGTGGATCAATTTTCTCTCATAATTGTAAGTGGTGCTCATTCTTATTTAAATTTTTGGGTTCTTAACGATAGTAGAAATGGTATTTAGTATTTACGACGATAGTGATGATGGTGAGTTTGGAAAAAAGAAGGTGATGTGAATGAAATCATGGATTGAGATGGCGTCGGAGAGGTGCGACAAGCTAAATGATTTTATGGTGATGTCGTCGGTGAAGGTGAGATGGTTTAAGAGTTTTATAAGCACCGCCGTTTTCTCCGTATATCTCGTCGGTGAGCAGATCTAAAACAAAACTTGTTATTTTTCGTTGCTAGTTATTTTCATCGTTATCACGTTAACCTCGTTATTGATTATTTTTGGTGAATATTATATATAAATTACACGTTAAAATAAATATTATCCATATATCGTGTATCTTACCGTGTTTATACTAATATTATTCCGATATTTAATATGTTAGCATGTTATTATTCTATATAACATGTTGTTATAATTGTTATCATGTTAATTATGTAAGAAAAAGTCTAATTCTTTTTTATTGTGCTGATATATACATAAATAAAAAATACTGATTCACAATTTTAAATCGATAAACATTTTTCTAACAATTAATTTTTACACTTATCAGGATATCATATTTTTTAGCACGTTAAACAAATAGTTATATATTTATCGTCCGCATATTACAATTATTTTTAATCAATGGCATTTTTGTAATTAATTCAAAACGAAAGGATATTTTTGGTTTATATTTTATTTCTCTTTCATATTTACCTAAATAACATATCTTTATGTATAGATTCTTAATTTCTTCATCTTCTAGGTATATATATTTCATTCACCCAACAATTTTATCTTTTTCCATAAATTTCAAAATCAAGAATATTTATTTTATATTTAGGATATTTTAAAGTATTTACACACTAACTTACCATCTAATATTCTAATTAATATCTCGATTTTCACTTTTTTGACTACTCCTTCAAGATTTATTTTTCTAGTTTTAGTTCATATAACACAAATATATTTTTAATTTTAAAAATTTATAGAGAGATTGATATAACCATCCATGATTTATTTATTTAAATATTCAAACCTTGACAATAACTGAATACATCCATGATTCTATTTTATTTTATTTTAAAAATAATGTTAGTTTACGTAAGGATCAGTCAAAACCAAAAGTGATTGAACTTTGAGTTTTGGTGTTATAAATTTATAATAATACGGTAACAATTGTGGCACAAGAAAAGTCTCTTAATTTTTTTTTGCAAGAACATAAGACGCTTCAACTTTGTCTTACAAAGTACGCATCGGAGTATAAATATAGAGTACAAAAAAAATCTCCCCTTATGCGGGATCATATATTCACAATGTACGTATCAAAGTATAAAATATAGCTCACTTAACCATATTGTTTACCTTTATCTACGGAAATTTAGAGAAAATATACTTAATTTTTGTCAAAGATATAGATCCAAATTAAGGTATGCTTTATTATAATTTATGCTTATGGTAATTTAAGTAGACGATAACGCTAAATATACTTGCTGCTTTAAATACAGTACTTTGTATTTATGTGTAGATCCATATTTTAAACTTATATACCTTTTTAATTTAAAATGAGGAAAGAAAGTTTTCCAAATAAAAACTCAAAAATGCCACTTTTAATCTATCTAATATATTGGAATATCTTATGATAATTTAATTAGGCAATAACATTAAATATACTCAATGATATGCTAAGTGTATCCGTATAAGAGAATTTAGAGTTCCTATTAACGAAATATATATACATCATCTATATATACATTTTTGGAGACATTTTTGAAATAAATCATGGAGTTGACACTTATTTACAATGTAATGCCACTGATATTAATTCTTAAGATTTATTTCTTTAATTAGATATATGTAAATCAAATTTGTTTGCCAAAAATCTGGAGACAATCTTTCCTAATATCTCGATAATGATCATTTATACTCTATTTAAATTAAGATTTTCAATTCAAAATCACTTACCATATATTATAATTTATATATTCAATATCTATAAATTTATATATTCAATATCTATAAATTTTTTTTATGATATTATGAACATTTGGACATATCAACATTTTAAACTAACACATGATGGGTTATATTACGGGACGAAATTATATGGTGGGGCAGAGTTATTTGGCGGGACGGGTTTGAATCAAAGTTAATAAAATTTTAAAATATCATTAACCCGTTCCTTCAATATGGGTTAAATCCTCACTTTATTATTTTGAAAGACCTGTAATATTAGACATATCGAATCAGTCTAATTTAGTTAAGATTGTATAAAACAAAAAATGTTCCATAGTATATTGTTACTTAATGATAATTATAAACTACAAATTATAAATGTCTTACAAATAATACAATTTGCAAATTTTTATATATAATACATAATTTAGAATTTTTAAAAATTATAAATTTTAGAAAAAAATCACCCCGCGGGTCAATTCCTAGTAATTTAAAGAATGTAAAAATGAAGGAAAAGTAATATTTAATTGATATGGCTCAAAAGGGGAATAAGCTATGGATTTTCTTACAAATTTAAGCTCCTATTTATTTAGTTACAATGAAAACATGATATATCAACCAGACTTCTATATATAAATTCTTATATTGTAAAAGGATACATAGTACAAATCGTTAACCAATTAGATGGGTGTGTGATATTGCTTAAGTCAAGTACAAAGAATCAAGAAGCAGATCTTTAGGAAATAAATATGAATGGTTTGGTTGAACCTAAATATTTATAACTTATTACATAGATTGAACTGTAACAATTATGTTTTTTTCTCAAAAATTGGCAATTCTCCAAATAAAGATATTCAATGAATATTTTAGACTTTATCTACAACTTTTACAAATTTAAAAAGAAAAAATTCATATATAAACTAAAACTAAACAATCTTATCATGTTGAAAATAAAATTCATAGTCAAGAATATTTATCTTTAATTAAAGATATTATAAAGTTTTTACATGCCAATCAAAGTGATAGATTTTTTGTGTTTTGATATTATAAATTTATAATAATACAGTAACTATCTAGATATTTTATTCTTTTTAAAAAATAATAAACCTATCATATATTTTTTTTTTCTAAAAGAAATCTGAAAAAGTTTTAGATATTTCCAAATTTTATGATAGAGACAAATGACAAACTATTATCGTTTTCAAAAATAAATAATCTTAAATATGTATATATGTAACACTAAAACATTTCTTTTCCCGAAACAATAACCCAAAAATAATAATAATTTCCAATTTTTTTTCCTTTTAAATTCTAAATGATATTTTTATAATGTAAATAATTCAGAATAACCTTAAATGGTTCTAATTTTTAATAAATATTAACCTTTATATTTGGCACTATCACAATCCTTATAAAAATTAATATAGCTTAAAATGTTTTAATTTTTACTACTTAAACATGATTTTATGATTTTGCTATTTTTATTTCCTATATTATAGAACTAAGTTGAGAAAAATATTATTTAACCCATCTGAATTTCTATTACACACAATTTATATTTTTAATTTTTATTAACAATAGAAACATACATTTGATAATTAAATAATTTAAACATTAAAAACTCTGTTCAATAATCCGAGAAATAATATGCCACTGAGTTTCTTATCATCTCCACAAAAGAAAATTATAGAACACAAAAAAAGTGAAACTTATAATAAAGGAAGGTTAAGTCATCATGATTAAAATATATATATTAACAAAAAGTTGGTTTAATTCCTCAATAAACTATTGATTCCATTATCATTAATAATTAATATGATCAATAATAACATTATATATATTATATATAAACATATTTATTTACAAACTAAATATCACAAAAAGTTATACGGACTCCGTTTTATAATGGACAATAAACTATTTATTAAAATATCGCACAACTCTTAAAAAAAAAGTAAAACAATGCACACAACTAAAAGAGTTGCTTTACTCCATACCAAAAAAAGAGATGCCTTACTTGAATACCAACCAAAGTTCATATTCGTACACGTATTAGCGAAGATGTCTTCTCCAAATAAGTCTTTGTATGTGTATAACGGTGTCTAGTTCATACGTAGCTCAAGAGAAGCACAAGAGTCTCTACTAAAACAATCACGATCGTTCGATTGGCCATACTTCCAGATAGCACCGCTATCACCGTTGAGGTGGTCTTCACCGTGCATAGGGAAGAGAGGAAGCCTACGTCGATGTTCCAGATAAGCATTGACACCACATTCTTCTTCTTCTTGACGACCTTCCAGACCAAACATAGGCTTTGGTCTATGCAAGAAGTTGCAAGGCGCAAATGAGTAGTGATGATTATAATCCAAGTTTGCCCATCCTCCACCTACGTTGTTGTAATTTATAGAACAGTCTTGTCATTATATGTAAAACATTAAATTTATATTCATATATGAAGGATATATATTATTTGAATTAAATGGCTTATTGTTTGGTACGTACCATAGACATGTGTATTAATGGGGCCATTAGAAGCATTAACAGCACCACATTCAGTATCTTGATATGACTTCGATCAAGTTAAGTGAGTTTGGATTCTCTCGTAAACCATCTCTCTACCACTATTCAGTTCATCCAAATCCTGCACCAATTCATAAGTACAACATGAAATCTAAACATTACCAACACTGCTCATGTAGTAGAGGACGATGAATATGAAATTCGGCTTTAAAATATAAAAGTTTTGCTTTTCTGATTTCTCGGTTCTATGTTTGAAAACTTGAACCCAATATATTCTGCCATATATGTGTAGAAAACATAAAACGTAGTCCTGCATCCAACATCAAGTGTTTGCATACTTCCTGCATAATGAACCGAAACTGAATCAATATGGCCTAACATTGTATATGGAATTTATTTTTAAGCATATTGTAAAACACAAACACGATATAACTCTTACCAAGAGTCGAAGCATTTATCTTAATCTGGCTAGAAAGAAAAAGCACAGTTAACTATTGAAACCAATATTTGTTTGGCCACATTCATGAGAGATATATACAATAAATTTTAAATTAAAAACAAAAATAAACTATTGAAACCAAATTTCTATTTTGATCATGCCAATGTATAAGCCTCAAATATCGAGCTAAACATATTTTATATATATGCATACCTTCTATGATATTGAATTTCTTGCTATTGGACGGTCAATACACTTTCTTTCTTGAACATTAAATATATAGACACCATTTAGGTCATGAGGATTCTTTCTTTCACGCTGCAAGTAACAACAAAATTAAAAAAAAAAACAAATACTTACAATAAGAGTATTCACAGAGAACTCTAGAGCAGCTTTGGTTTCAGTAGGTCCCGACTTCACGCAACAGGCAAATTCAAAAATGTCAAAATGTGAACCATGCCATAAAACCAAAATGGTAGTATGCACTAAATGTTATACCTCATATGAAGGTACTAAATTTGCAATGTTGCGAACAGTGAATGCATCACCCGGTTGGAATCCCAGGACAGTAGAAGGACAAACCCTAGAGTCTGCACAAGCGATCACCAGAAACTGTTGCTTACACTGTTAGCAACAATTCCTTTCTCCAGACAAAATTTAAACCACAGAAGATAACTCAAGCCTTCCGTGAACAATAATAAGCATTTGTAAATTGTAAAGGTACCTTCGGAGCTTGAGCATCTGCCAAATTTTTGTAGTGTTCTAAGTTATCCCTGCTCAAGAGTATATCATAAGGTGGGGAGAAACAGAAAGGCAAAAAGTAATTTATAAACCATTGAAAAAGCAAAAGACTGAAGAAATTGGTTCTGCTACTTACGCTTCTTGAAGTAATTTATAAACCATTGAAAAAGCAAAAGCAAAAGTACTTATGCTACTTGAAGGCGAGGAACCGCTGTTTCATGTCGTCAAATACATCATTGTCATTTTGTCTATTAATTGCAACCCCATTAGCTTCCTGAGTCAGTCCAGGTGTCTTTCCTGAAGCCATCACTTGCAAGTTTGAAGCTTTTCTTCTGCAAACACCACAACACTTAAATATTATAAAACGTCTCCACTGAGATTGTGCCACTTAAAGCATCACAAAAATACTCTTATTTTCAAATCTTACAAAAGACACACTACTTATAGACCAATGAGAAAAAGAAAATTTGTATCATAAAACTATTCGATGTGTAATTTTCACATATAAACTACAATTCAAGTAAGGAGAAGACTGAAATATTGATATATGACCTCTAAAACTCACGAAATTTTACTCAAATTCAAAAGCAGTCCATGCAATCAAAAACGAATTGTACCTATACTTCAACACACTCCCGAAAGCTCATCTTCCATCCATGGCAAGCTTTCGAAAACTCAATACTAAGAGAATTAGCACGAACAGTCACAAGAAACTCTCTATTTTACAATTTTATCACAATAGACATACCTTTGCAATCTCGACATCGATCTCGATTTAGAGAGCCACCGGAGACGATAACTTGCACGATAATGACATTAGAGCGAGCAACCTCTGTTTTTTCGTGAGCTTCAAAACAGATTTATGTGTTTTAGAAAGTAAATATACGTTAGGGTTTCTAGCAATCAAAAAGAAAAGCATGTAAATTCATGATAAATACAAAATATAGTTTAGATTAGAGACTGACTTTTTGTACGATGAAACAAACACGCTTTGATGATCGTATGCCCACATCTCATTGTAACCTGAGAGGTTAAAAAATCCAAAATATATGCTGAAAAAAATTATGAATGCAGGGACAACTAATACGCAATAAAATCGCATATAAAAATATATAATATAACAAAAAGAAACACAAACATTACAATAGGTAAATATATGTAAAATATACAAACCAAATCTATAGAAATACCTTTCCAAACCTCGTTCTGTTCTCGTCAAAACCATCTTCGTCCGAAAGCTTTGTCGATGGAACCTCCCACGTTCTACAAAACTGAAACACATATCAAAAGAATCAAATCAGCAAAACAATAAATCAACGAATTAATGCAAAAAATAAAACAAACAACAAACAATATGCACACGACGTCTAAAGGTAAATGAAAACAGTATTTGCATGACAAACAATTTGATTCATCAGAATCGTAGCTGTATAAAAAAATCATAACGGTGAAAACTATCTAATGGGCACAGAAAAAATAATACCTAATTCTCACCGATCAACAATATATATAGCTTTAAGATTAGGGCAAACATCAATCATTATCTTAAGAAATTTAACTTTTTAATTAGAAACTAAATCAGAAAACTAACAAAAACGAATATTAACTACTAAGATATAGAATTTATCCAAAAAATAAACAAATAAATTAAAGCTAAGATTCCATAATCCTTAAAGTCGAGACATTATGACATTCGTATCCCCAACGATTACACTATATAAAAAAAAAATTAAGGGTGATTAAGACTAATCATCTCAAAACACGATTAGCCTTATATACCCCTAGCAATTAAGAACAAAAAATTTCGAAATTGAGGGTGTTTAGGACATTATTATAGAGATCAACACACGATAAGACTTATATACCCCTAATTACGAAGAAGGAGAAATTTCGAGAAGAACAATTCATTAAGGGTGTTTAGGACAAATCATTCTAACTTTTAACCACAGGCCTCCAATGCCCTAACTTTCAATATGGTGCGTTTCTACTTCTCAATTAATTATTGTAGAGATGTTTTGGGGATGCTATATCCGTCCAGGTTACATTTTGTATATCGCTTGAGTATATTTACGTATATAGTTATTAGGAAATTAAGAAGACCAGGCCACATTTTGAACCGTTGCAATAGTTATGGTCCTTATGGATAAGCTGTACCATACTTTTGTGCCTAAATTCTCATAATTTTGTTTGGTTTAAACTATAAATTTCAATCCTCAATTCTTAATTAATACTCTGAAATATATAATATCTTATTTTATTGACATATAAAATTTGATTGAGCATTATCAAGATTTGCTTTGCTACTACCATCCTATATTTTTCTTAAAACGATTTAAAAACTTATAAAAATATACCACTATCGCGTGGATTTGAAATATGGGAATAAAGAGTTCACCCTTACGGTGAACCCAATAATTCAATTACTCGATAGCACACTTTCTGAACATAAGTCACTTTTGTTTTGTCAAAGAGTAATAACCCCCAACTATCACCTAATTATGTAACAAAACTCTATCACCCTTCTCTTTAGTTTTAACCAATCGTGTGTAGTTTCACCTTTCACCAAATTAAAAGAAAAAGTATTATTCACCCCAATTATATAAACTACAGGAAAACATGTCTTTTGCAACTATGTTTTGTGACTCTATACAAGAAAACCTGCAATTTGGGACTCCTTGTTGTGACTATTTATGTGGTCGCAAAAAGAGCGACTATTTTGTAATTGATATGCGACTTTTAAACGACTACAATCCAAGCAGATGGAAAATAGTCGCTAATTAGCGACGGAAACACCTAGTCGGAAAACAGTCTCAATTTAGCGACTCATATCCGACTGTTTTGCCATTCTATTTATTTGGTCGCAAAAACGTCGCACTATGAGACCACTTAGCGACCTAATATGTAGTCATAAAACTCAGTCGCACAGCAGTCCCAATTTAGCGACGTTTTTGCAACTACATCTTTCGATCACGGTTTAGTAGTAAATTAGTCACAAAAAGTAGGTACAAAAACGTGAAAAATACGAAAAAGTTAGGTGTACTGAATTTTGTGAATTATTTGAAATCGGTCGCAAAAGAGTTACAAAAGTTGGCACAATGTGAAAACTGCGATAGAGTTAGGTGTACCAAACTTTGTGACTCCTCAACATTCAGTCACAAAAGAGTCACAAAATCATCACTATATATACAAGGCCTTCGTCATTTTATTTCTCATTCCATCCAACTTCAAATTAAGAGAAAAAACGTAAGGAGAAAGAAAGAAAAAACGAAGGAGAGAAAAAAAAAGAAAAAAAAAGAGAGAAATAAAAGAGAGAAAAAAAACGATGTGGAATAATCCATCACGCGAATGGATGTACAACCGAAACGATCCATACACTAGTTATGTTTCGGGGGAGTATTTGGCGGGTGTGGAACAGTTCATCGATTTTGCGAGCTCTCACGTTGAAGACAGAAAAGGTCGGTTTTAATATTGTCCTTGTGTAGTCTGTCAAAATTCTAAACGCATGAAAGCTGCCACAATTTCGAGTCATTTGCTTAGTAGGGGGTTTATGGCGAATTAGTATGTATGGTATGAACATGGTGAAGATTATAATGTTGTTGGGGAGGGAACTAGTAGTCATCATGAATATGCTGATAATACCGATTATACTAGTGGTACGCATGAACCAATAGGATTTGATGGGGAGAATGTATATGCTGGGATGGCTAATGATGGGGAGAATGTATATGCCTGGATGGTTAATGATGCATTTCATGGTTCTGTACCATATAACGAATATAATGAACATGATCAAAGTGGAAACGATCATGTTCATGAAGAACCCACCCAAGAAGCAAAACGATTTTATGACATGCTAGCTACCGCAAACATTCCACTTTACGATGGATGTCGGGAAGGTCAATCGCAATTATCGTTGGCAGCTCGGTTCATGAACAATAAGGTGGACTACAATTTGTCAGAAACTTGCATGGACGGATGGGCATAATTGTTTACAGAATATTTACCAAAAGGTAATCAGGCGACCGGTTCCTACTACGAGACAGAGACTTTGATGCGAAAGCTAGGATTGACGTACTATACATATGATGTATTTATAGATAATTGTATGTTGTTTTGGAAAGATGATGAGAAGTTGGGGAATTGCAAGTTCTGCGGAAAACCAAGATAAAAGGAGAGTAAAGGAAGAACAAGAATACCATATAGTAAGATGTGGTATTTACCGATTGGGGACAGATTGAAGAGAATGTATCAATCTCAAAAGACTGCAGCTTCGATAAGATGGCATGCTGAGCATGAATCGGAAGCGGGATTAATGTGTCATCCATCAGATGCGGCTGAGTGGAAGAATTTCTAGCAATTCCATCCCTCATTTGCAGAAGAACCGCGAAATGTTTATCTTGGATTATGTACTGACGGTTTCAATCCTTTTGGCCCGTGATCTTGACTCCATACAACTTGACTCCAAAAATTATTCGTTGTGGCCCGTGATCTTGACTCCATACAACTTGCCTCCTGATATGTGCATGAACAGTGAGTATTTGTTTCTTACAATTTTGAATTCGGGACCAAATCATCCACGAGCCAGTCATGATGTTTTCCTCCAACCACTGATCGAGGAGTTGAAAGAGTTATGGCATAACGGAGTTGAGGCATACGATGTGTCTTGTGATCAAAATTTCATATTTAAAGCCGTCCTTTTGTGGACTAATAGCGATTTCCCAGCATATGGCATGTTATCGGGATGGACTACACATAGAAGAATATCGTGCCCAATTTGTATGGAGGATACAAAATCATTTTGGTTGCCAGGTGGTCGGAAGACATGTTGGTTTGATTGCCACAGAAGATTTCTTCCTCTAAACCATCCGTTACGGAAGGACAAAAAGCACTTTGTGAAAGGTAAAAATGCAGTGCACGAGTATCCACCTGCATCGTTGACTGGTGAACAAGTCTTATATGAGCGTATAAAGACTGCCAAGCCGCCAAAGACATCTGACTGCGGAGGAAATGGGCATGAAAATAAAGTGGATGGGTATGGAGATTGGCATAATTGGCACAAAGAAAGCATAATGTGGGAGCTACCTTACTGGACCGATCTAAATCTACGACACAATCTTGATGTGATGCATATTGAGAAAAATATTCTCGATAACGTCATGTACACTGTGATGAATGTGAAAGACAAATCAAAAGACATTGTGAAGTCAAGAATAGATGTTTCCAGATTTTGTGATCGGCCTGAATTGCATGTTGATGATCGAGGGAGAGCTCCATTTCCTATTTGGAGATTGAGTGCGAAAGCAAAAAAAGTCTCCTTGAATGGGTCAAATCAGAGGTCAGATTTCTAGATGGCTATGTAGCAGATTTAGCTAGTTTTGCAGATATCAATGCCGGCAAGTTTTCGGGAATGAAAAGTCACGACTGCCATGTATTTATGGAACGATTGCTTCCGTTTGTGTTTGCAGAACTCTTGCCGCGAAACGTACATCTTGCATTATCAGGTAAATATATTTAATTTATAAATATATGTTTGCTCTATATATAAAATAATATGACTATTAATTTTATTTTATTTGTATTGTAGGCATTGGAGCATTTTTCCGTGATTAAAGTACTCGATCATTGGAGCTAAGTCGCGTCCAACTTTTGAAGGAGAATATTGTCATGATTTTGTGCAACTTGGAAAAAATATTCCCACCTTCTTTCTTTGATGTGATGGAGCACCTACCTGTACACCTATCATACGAAGCAGAGCTTGGCGGTCCAGTTCAATATAGATGGATGTATCCTTTCGAAAGGTTTTTTAAACGTTTGAAAGGCAAGGCGAAGAACAAAAGATATCCAGCGGGTTCAATCGTACATGAATGATGAGATATCATACTTCTCGGAACACTATTTTGCATCGCACATTTGTACAACTATTAGAAGAAGGTATTTCATACTATATTATAATGAGAATACCATTATTTTAATAAAAGCAAATATTTTTATGAATTAATATATATACTTATGTTCGCAGGACAAGTCGGTATGATGAAGGTGAAGTTCCTGTATATCCTGTCCCGGTACCAGACATATTCACACAAGTCGGTCGTCCAAGTGGCAAAAGTAGTGAGTTCTGGTTAACTGAGCAAGATTGTACATGCGCACATGCATATGTTTTGCGTAATTGTGACTATTTTCGACCGTTTGAAAGGTATACATACATTTTTACCAAGTAATAATATTAATTTTAAGAGCGTTCTCTCTATTAATCGACTAATGAGAATATCTTTTTACATGTCGAAAAACAGTATGTTGGACGCGCAAATTCGGGATGAATATCCAGAACTCTCTGATGATGAGGTCACTTCTAAAAGAGACGAAGATTTTCATTTATGGATTCGCCAATACGTACGTCGTATATACTAACGATCTCACTTTAAATCGACTCATGGATTGGAATATATATCTTTACTAATCTATATAATTTTCATTTTAGGTGGAAGCAACGAGAAGTCATCAAAATTTTCCTCCATAGGTTCATGAACTAGTGGAAGGTCCTGAAAACAAAGTCAAGTCATGGCCCATGTATTTTACTAGAGGATATATGTTTCACACGCGGAATCATGGGCGCACTAGAAAGACAATGAATTATGGGGTATGTGTTCGAGGACAAAATTATTCTGAAGCATCTAACGAAGAAGATTTTTTTGGGACCGTGGAAAAGATAATCGAGCTCGAGTATCCAGGACTGGTTAACTTAAAGCTCACATTTTTCTACTGTGAATGGTTTGACCCAAAGGTTGGCAAAGGAATTCGTATTTCAGATGGAGGCGTTGTAGACGTGCTACAATCAAAGAGATACCAAAATTACGAACCATTTATTTTAGGTAATTTTTCATCCTATTTTCAAGTATTTGCTATAGAGACGATCTTATTTTATTTCAAATTTTTGGCTTTGTACAGGGTCTCAAGCTGATCAAGTGTGTTATCTTTCATACCTGAACACAAAACAACCTCGAAAAACGTGGCTTTCAATTTGCAAAGTTAATCCAAGGAATGTTGTTCAAGGGAAGTTTACTGAAAATGATATGGTTATACTGCAACAATCTGTTGATGAGGCACCTCCGAGCATGATTGAAGAAGTTATAGTTGAGAGCTTAGTTGACGGAAATCATCAAGATGAACCTATCGATTTTGATATTGAAGATGCTGAAGGAGAAGACGAATTTCATTGTAATTCATCAACATCCGAAGATGAAGATGAAGAAGAAGGTGAAGATGAAGAATAATTATAAATATAAGTCATTTGTAAAATAATTGACTAAATTTTAATGTGTGTTTTGTAATATATTTTAATTAAATGGCTTGATGATGTGTGTTTTGGAAAATAGAATTAAACACCCAATTTGATATGTTTATTTACTAGTTTTTGTAAGCATTTAACGATTAATTAAACAGCCAATTTGGTAACATACTTGCCATACTTGAAAGCAGGTTCTCGGTTCGAGTCAAGTAGAGCTCTTGTTTTCCATCATTTTACTAACAGTCACAAAACAGTCGCACTGTTGCCACCATTCTGCGACTAAACAAGATAATCGATCACATCTACCAAACGGTCACAAAACAGTCACACGTTTTCCACCCTTTTGCATCTAACACCTGAGACTTAGCGACTAAAAATGAGAATATATCACCATTTTTCAAAACAGTCGCAAGACGGTCACATTTCTGCCACCATTTTGCGTCTAACACCTGAAACCTAGCGACTACTTTGCTACATATTACCAACTCTCGATATTGAACAATCCAAATTTCTAATTTGGGGTTTGTTTATATGTTCCATCATACGTTACTAGTGTGATATGATCGAATTTAGTTATAAATACTTAACCAACCTCTTGAATTTCAATGATTAAAAACCAAACATGCAAAAATACCTAATCCATATGAAGTGTTACATGTTCTTTTAAGAGAATGATAGAGAATTTATAACAAATTATGATATAAGTTGTGGAAGCAATTTTTTACCTATCTAAGACTTATATATGTACTTTATGCTACTAAAATGAGTGTTTATATGTGATTACAATCAATAGAATGAAACAAAATCCATATGATATAAGTTGTGGAAGCAATTAGGAGTGATAATGCACCAGAACTTGCATTCACTGAATTGATTAAAGAACATGGCATGTTTCACTTTTTCTCATGTGCTTATACTCCACAACAAAATTCTGTTGTGGAGCGCAAGCATCAACACTTGTTAAATGTGGCTAGATCACTTCTTTTCCAATCCAATATTCCTTTGAAATATTGGAGTGATTGTGTTTTCACTGCTACTTTTCTAATCAATAGGATTCCTCCTCCTTTGCTTAAAAATGTCACACCATATGAAAAGTTGATAAATATATATACTACAAGAAAACAGCCGATTACCGACTACAGCAGCCAACTATTCATGTAGTCGCCAATTTTAGCGACTATCTTGCTTCTTTTTTACGACTATTAAACGACTATAGAAAAGTAGTCGTAACGTAGTCACCAAAGAGCGACAAAAACCAGTTGTCAGTAATGTAGTCGCTATATGACGACTATTTACCGACTAATAAGTTGAATATATATCTTAGTCGTATATTAATCGCTATTTTAGCGACTATTGTCTGACAACTTCTGTTAGTCGCTATTTTGGCGACTATATTATGATTACGGGCGTGATTGGAATTGGGTGCTGTGAAGTCTGTCCACAGCCGTATTTTTTCCTAAAGCACTAAATCTACAGCAATCATGCTTTATATATATATTTCAAATCTAGCCATTTTTTTGTTTTCCTTTTTTTGTGCTGTACAAAGCTCAAAACCTACAGCACTAAAATTTTGTCTTTGAAAAACTTTAAGGAAAATTAACGCTTTCTCTCTTCACTCTTCAATATTTTTATCTTTTGACATATTTCTTTTACGTAAGAGATTTTTTTTATTTTTATTATATAGGTTCAGACTTAGATTTATCTTAACTACATATACATACATATATACTTTATATATTAGTTATATGCATATAAGTATACAACTACCATTTAGATTTTTTTTTATTTTTTATTTTAAAAAAACGAAAATAAATATTAATTTTTAAAAAATTATACCATCTAAATATATATGTAACTTCTTATTTATTTTAATTCACTTTTTATTTATATGAAATAATAAGTTTATAGTTAACACAAAAATACATAAATCTATAAACTACAGCATACAGCTGAACCAATCAAACTTTTATTTTAAAATGTTACAGCTAAAGCTAAAATATCTACAGCCAAAAACCTAAATCTACAGCCGAAAAATATACAGCATAAATTCTACAGCTAAAAACATAAAGCTACAGCTGTAACCAATCAGGCCTTACATTGCATACAACAACCAGTAGTCACAAAATAGTCGCTAATTTTGTGACTAATATGTAACTACAAAACGTAGTCGCTTTTTGGTGGCCTTTTAGTAACTACTTAGTCTCCATAAATGTTTATATAATCAAACTTCACCATTTTTTCTAAACCCTAAATACAAAACTTTAAATCTCTAAACTCCAAATTTTTATCTTAAACTTAATCTCCAAACCCTATACTTCAAACCCTAAACTTTAAATTTTAAACTCTCACTACAAAAAAGGCGCTCTTTAACGTCATTCATTTTGAAGGTTAACGTCGGTATTTAACTGACTTAATTATTATGGCGTCAGTTTTTTAAGCGACGTGTTATCCTCCGACGTTAAAATAATTAACTTCGGTTACAGAAACGACATGAACTTTAACGACACAAAATTAACGTCAGTTTTCTAATAATTAACGTCAGTTATAAACCGACACCATTGGAATAGTTAATGTCACTAAATAAACCGACGCTATGTGCCTTTGGTTTTATTGCCAGTTTATTAAATTTATTTATTAGTATATAAATTAAAATCGGAAGATACTTAAAATTAAGAAAGACAAATGGCCCATATAGAGAATTTCTTTTATAAATATTTATTTTTTTTACATGAACTTTGTCCTAAAAAATATGAAAATCCTTGAAAACAATTCACAATATGCCCATTATCTGTTCTTCAAAGTTTCAAACTGTCGTCTCTGAAAGTCTTAGGTTATTTACCTGAAATCAAATGTAAATTACAAAATCAGATTATAGAATTTTTAAGTAAAAAAATGTTATTAAAACAAAATAGTTGCTAATTTTGTGACTAATATGTAACTACAAAACGTAGTCGCTTTTTGGTGGCCTTTTAGTAACTACTTAGTCTCCATAAATGTTTATATAGTTTATGCCTACCAAAAAAAAATATTACAAGAACAAAATAGTTTATGCCTACCAAAAAAAAAAAGGAACAAAATAGTTTATCATCATCAATACTCTGAAATATTTGCTTCTCGTAAGCTTGTAAAAAATGTAAGAAAACCAAAGTTATCAAAAGTATCGGGAAATGACCAACTTACATCTGCATTCGGATTGGAGACAAGCACTGTATATGATTTTGGCGATATCTTGACTAATCAAGAAGGTCAATACTAACAACACTAGAGCAAAACAAAAAGAGTAGAAAGTAACAAATAACAAAGTCTTTGCCCTTCTTCTTACTATACAATGTGTGTCTATATCATGTCTCTATATATCTATAATTTCACCAACATATATTAGATTTTACATATAAAGCATGTTAAACGGCTGAGAAATCACTAAGATACTCTCTTTATCCATAGAACATATCACACATTCTCCACAAAAGTTTCATTAGTTAATCAAAATAAGAAAGGATTTGATTACAAAGTTGCAACTTTATCTCTCACTTAGAGAGTAAGATCAAGAACTGTAACCATTTACTTTCTATTTTAACTTACAGTAGATTGATGTGGTAAACTAGTCAATTACTATCTTCACCCTTGAGCTTGTCCACCCAATATCAATGCTCCTCTGTGTTACATTTTTAATCCATTCACGCTGAGAATGTTGCCATCACAATGAAGCTGATAGCTAAAAGGAAAGTCTGAACAAATAAAAAAGACAAGAAAGTTGGTTGAGTCAAAAGTATGGTAATCCAACCGGAAGGGTCGTTTTGAGTATGACGATTGCAATTCAAGTAAAACAGAGTAATGTTTTATAAAACCAACTAAAACAAAATCAAATTTTGTTTCTTCATACCTTCTAATCCCAGACCAACATATGAAAACAATGTAGTAAGCCATAATTCCGGAAGACAGAAGTCCTCTACTCACCTTTCATGGAAAGCATCACAACACATTTGAATTCCACACATTTGTGTTATCATTGATCAAAACTCAGGAAATGCATCTCTTCCTGAAATGTATGTAAATGATCCAAATTATTTTTCACCTAACTATCAATGCGATGAGTCAAACTTAGATAGAGAGAGATCGAAACAAACTGAAATATGAAAATAAGAAATACCATAAACTCAATTTCAGATTCGTCTCCAAAACCTACCGAGAAACATTTGTAAGAATCCAATTCAACTAAATTCATAATCCTTGTTAAAATCAAGCAATTTCATCCGAAACACAACACATTTCTAAGAAATTTCTATCATACTAACCTTTCTGAGCGATTAGACAAAAAGAGAGATTGAGAGCTGAAGAAAACCACAAAATCAAGTTGAAATACGATTATACGTTTCGATATGAATCTCGACGATCAATTTCGTCGAAATCAGAGATGCAGAGCGACGAGAATTGGAGAAGGAGAGCGACGAGAATCAGAGATGCAGAGCGAAGAGAATCAGAGATGCAGAGCGTGGAGAATCGGAGATGGAGAGCGACGGCGAAGAATTGGAGATGGAGAACGAAGACGAAGAATTTTGACCTGGGAAATTCAGAAAAGGGGGTAATCTCACATGAATATGCGTTAAAACTAATCTGCGAAATTATCTAGAGATAATTAATAAACGAAATAATAAATTACTAAACTTTAACGTCGTTTTATTAAACGACGCTAATGACCGCTTATTTTTACGTTTTAAGTCGGTTCCGAAAACGACGTTAAAAAAATGACGTATCCTACCGTATTTGTTGTAGTGTCTTGTAATGCATTATGCATATATATATTAAATCATAAAGCATTCAACCAAAATATAACCATTATATATGTATAAAAACATTTTTTTAAAAGGGTTTGATTTGATTCTTTAATTATATTATATATATATATATTATTTTATTTTCAAAACTGAAATCATACACTTAAAAAAATAAAAAATTTCAGATTTATAATTCTAAATTCGTTGAAATCTACAACAAATCTAATCATTTAGTATTAAAATTAAATTTATGAACTGTTGTATTAAAATTAAATTCCAATTTGGTTGCATTTCAACCCATAGTTTATTAAATTAATTTTGGAAGACTTAAAATCTGGATTTAAAATTAGGGGAAAATGAAATTTGAGACTAATTGGGGGGAAATGAAATTTGGGTCGGGGAGAAATGAAATTTGGGTCTAAAATTCTTCAAAGCGTTTACTCTTTTATTTTTGTGCTGAAGTCTTCTTTCTCGGTTTTTCCCTTATCTCCTCTAACCTAATACCCTCGCATCCACAACTCGCCTCCACCACATATTAACGCCGTTTTGCCTCTCCGGCGTCCAGTGCCTCTCGTCGGTGCCGTGAGAGGGATCCTTTTTTGTCATTGGTGTTATCTAATCCCTCATATGTGGTTGTCAGCGGTTGTCGTCGGAGGTATAGAGTTCGTGATTTGAGATCTCAATTTGTGGCGGCTCGAGACATCTCCTTGGCTCGTGTTTAAGAATGATGGCCTCCAGTTTTTGGAGTCCGCGGCGAGAGGATCCACACGGTACAGCTGAAGAGGGATTTATGGCTAATTGGGAAGTTGATTTGTCGAAGAATCTAGAAGACTACCTTCAAAATTATTACCGGAGAAATCACTGGAAATGAAGAAGATGGGCAGATTCCTGTGAATTCGCTGAAGGTTTGTGGTATTTTGCTTCAATTTTCAGAAATTTGTTTCTCTTTTGATTCAACTTATTCCATTTTTTAGAGTAATTGAGAATTGGGTTTCGAATTTTGTGTTTCTCTGGATTTGTGGTTGTTTTCTGCTTCATGGTTCGGTTCAGGTTTACTCCCAAGAAAGTGGAGTACATGTACAATTTGGTTCTACGTACGTTGGAGTTTCTATCGAAGCAAAGGTCTGTCCTTTTGAACTCCTTGTGTTTTTTCGCTTAGTGAATATCTAAGCTAATTGAACTAGATAAAACATTAGTACTTGTTTGTAAAAATCCTAGCATCTCAGTTTTAGGGGCTAACTTCGATTCATATTTCTCTATGTGTATGGGTTTTATTTCGTGTTCACAAATGAAGTGAATTTATACCATCGTTGCGCCACTGTTTATATCAGAGGAGTCATGTCGTCTTTGTCCAGCGCAGCCTAAGAGATGTTTTAGAAAAGTCCCAACACTTTGAGTTTAAGGTACGAGTTCACTTGCTCTCATATTTTGAACGTACTTAGAGCATGATTATAGGTGGGTTTTTAGAATTTGCTCTTAGCAATATTTAAGTAATTTATTTGTAAAAGTGATTGTTAAGAGATAGTATTTTTGAGTTAAGATTTTTGTGTGATTAATGGTAGGCTCTTAACATGTGGTTCTTAGAAAAAAAAAATTAATATAAAATTTTTTTTATAATTATAGAAAATTTAATAATTGTTACAAATTAAAAAAATTAAAACATACATGAGATACAATTTATAACATAAATAACATAAAGCATAAATGTTTTAAACTTAATTTCTGGAATATTTTGTCCATATATGCTCGACCAAATCATTCTTCAATTGTTGATGCATACCTCGATCACGAACTCGGGCTCTATTAGTCATCATTCCGAAGAAATTTGAAGGCATATCTGTAGAATATGTGAAATCCACCCGTGAACTTCCTGCAGATTCCGCTTGTTCGAATTCGGTCGTATCAAACAGAGTATAACCATCTCGTTCGTCTTCTACTATCATATTGTGAAGTATTATACATGCTCGCATAATATTTCCTATTTTTACCTTATCCCAAAGAAGAGCCGGATTTTTGACAATGGCAAATCGAGCTTGCAAAACTCCAAAAACACGCTCGACATCTTTACGGAAAGCTTCTTGATGGGTTGCAAATAAAGATGCTTTATCAGTTTGTGGAAGTGAAATAGATTGGATAAAGGTAGCCCATTTAGGATAAATGCCATCCGTGAGATAGTAACCCAAATTATACTCGTTCCCGTTGACTGTATAATTCACTGCTGGTGCTCGCCCTTTTAAGATGTCATCAAAAAACCAGAGAGCGATCTAGAATATTGATTTCGTTTAAAGTACCTGGCGGTCCAAAAAACTCATGCCATATCCAAAGATCTAGGGAAGCTACAGCCTCTTAAACAATCGTTGGTTTTCCAGAGGCACGTGTAAGGTAAAAGAGATTCAAGCAACTTCGGGTTGGTAAGTTCCTTTCTGAAGGCATGTTCTTGTTGCTTCAAAGCAAACTCTTTTTGCCTTATCTCCCATAAAGCCTGAATCCTTTCTACAGCCTGCCCTTCTTCTTCTACAAGTGGCACAGTTGTGGCATTCTTTTTGAGTTTTGCCATGGCTGCTTAACACCAGCATGACGAGATTGAGATGCTTGAGACTCAATGTGGGCTTGGGAAGCTTCAGAATCTACCTTTCTTCTTTTATTCTTGTCAGTGGATTTAGTGGACTGCTCTTGACACCACTTCTGCTCATTCCTCAACGCTCTCCATGCATGCTCCAAGTTGAACTTATTGTCGTAGTCAGCCTCAAATATCTGATGCGCAAGCTTAATCAGATCGTCATCATTCATACCACTTGACACATGTCCTGCTGCAGCTTGGAAAAAACCCACAAACTTACAAACAAGCTCATTTATCTTGGCCCACCTTTGTTTAAAGTGGGTTGGCTCTCTCTTTTTCTCACCAGATATATTGGGACTTGCAGCATAATATGCTGCAATCCTCTTCCAGAATGCTACTCCTCTTTGCTCATTGCCAACAATGGCATCTTTACTTGTATTAAGCCACGCAGATATTAAGACTAAATCTTCTTGACTTGTCCACTTTTTCCTCTTTCTTGGTGTAGATTTAGCTTTGGCGCTTCCACCTTGAGTTGTAGCTTCTGTCACTTCTGTCCATTGGGTGCTGTAGGCAGGGAGATCAGATTCACCAAGTCTAATACTTGGTGATGCTGACTCATAAGCATTGGGGTTTAGGCTTCCTCTTTCTTGTTGACTTGTTAACATCTCCATGAAGCCAGCAGAGTTAGTATATGGATTCATCTCCAAGAGTTTCAGGGAGTTTACAAAGGGAATTAAAGAAAATGAAAGATGAGAGAATGAAAGAGAATGGGAGAATAAAAGAAGAATCTGGGAGAATGAAAGAGAATGAGAGAATAAAAGATGATTCTGAGAGAATGAAAGAGAATGAAAGAGAATGGGAGTTTCTGAGAGTGTTAAATAGATTGACAGAGAATGAAAGAGAAAGAGAGACTTTATATGTTAGTGTTTGTTTACAGTTGTGGGTAACAATCAATGATACACTTACTTCTAAACCCTAATGGAAACCAAACAAGCATTGATCAATTAAAAACTGATGTAGACAATCTAATTCAACATCAAAACTAACAGAAAGCAAACAATTAAAAACTCTTTTAAGAGGCATTTATCACTAAATTAACACAACCAAAACACTCAAGTCTCACCTAATATTAACTACAAAAATAATCAATGTTCTAAATCAAATTCAAGATAGCTTCTGTTTCCTTAATGTCTGGCCATTTAACGCAGCTTCTGATCCTCACAGTCTCCTCTCCGTTCTCTCATCTTTGTGTCCAATAAACACCATATCTCACAATAAAAAGAAAACAATAAATCAAATTCAAGATTAAGAAACAAAACAGATTAACATTTGAATTAAAAATCACAAATATAATGAAGACTAATCACTACACGAAGCATTTATGAAGTATAATCACTACACAAAGCATTTATCTGATGTAGACATTCTAATTCAATTTTAGGTAGACAAATAGCAAACAATTAAAGACACTCTAAAAGCATTTATCACAAACTGACACAACCAACAACACTCAAGTCTCACCTAATCTTAATGAAGACTAATCAATATGCAGCAGCTAACAAAAGCTCAATTATCTCAATAGTTTCCGGAATATTAATCATCATCACAAATGATCCAACAAAGTCTTAATCCAAACAATCATCCACACATCAAAAACAGAGTATTACCTGACATTCATGTTGAAGAACATGACACAACTGCACTGCTTCTTTAAACCGAGTGCTTCCATGAACTCCACTGCTTATTTAAACCGACATTCATGTTGAAGAACCTACAATATTAAGCATATACAATCAACTTTTATAGTTTGAGAACATGCTTCCAATTGACAATGACTTAAACATTACAGAATATAGATTAATCATGCTTCTAATTAGACAGCATCATACACTTAACAACAAAGAACACTATTTCTCAAAATCCAGAAACCCTTATTAAACAAATCCAAAGAACACTACTTAGAAATTACTTAAACAACAATAACACTAACTCAATCATGCTTCCAATTAGCCTATTTTCCCCAAATCCCGAAACCCTAATTTCAAAAATCTGAAGAACCCTAATTTGAAAACTATTTTAATACATCAAACACACACTCAAACATGCTTCTAATAAGGCAAACAATAGACTTAACAACGAAACCGATTATCCCCAAATCCCGAAACCCTAATTTGTTAATCCGCAAAATACATCAATTCAAACACCAAATGAGACATGCATACCTTCAATAATATAGAGCGAGAGCGAGAGAGCGAGAGAGCGAGAGAGCGGGAGAGAGCGAGAGCAAGAGCGGGAGAGCGAGAGAGCGCGAGAGCGGGAGAGAGCGGGAGAGAGCGGGAGAGAGCGGGAGAGAGCGGGAGAGAGCGGGAGAGAGCGCGAGAGAGCGTGAGAGAGCGGGAGAACGCGCGAGCGAGACGCGCTCTCTCGCTCGCGCGAGCGAGAGAGAGCGCGAGCGAGAGCGAGAGGGAGAGGGAGAGGGAGAGCGAGAGGGAGAGCGAGAGGGAGAGGGAGAGCGAGAGCGAGCGGGAGAGCAGGAGCGGGAGAGCAGGAGCGGGAGAGCGGGCGAGCGGGAGAGCGGGCGAGCGGGAGAGCGGGCGAGCGGGAGAGCGGGCGAGCGGGCGAGAGCGGGAGAGCGGGAGAGAGCAGGAGAGCGGGAGAGAGCGGGAGAGCGGGAGAGCGGGAGAGAGCGGGAGAGCGCGGGAGAGCGCGGGAGAGAGCGGGAGAGCGCGGGAGAGCGCGAGAGAGAGAGCGAGCGAGAGAGCGCGAGAGAGAGAGCGAGCGAGAGAGCGAGAGAGCGAGAGAGCGAGAGAGCGAGAGAGCGAGAGTGCGAGAGAGCGAGAGAGCGAGAGAGCGAGAGAGCGAGAGAGCGAGAGTGCGAGAGAGCGAGAGAGCGAGAGAGCGAGAGTGCGAGAGAGCGAGAGAGCGAGAGAGCGAGAGCTATTTGAGCTTCATAAACAAATACACATATAAAACTGGGTATAAATGTGGGAGTTTTAATGCTTTCAACGGGTCAATAAGTTGCCAAAATGACGCTTGTGTGTTAAGAGCTGTTTGACATATCTCACCAAATTCTTTGCATTTTAAATTTCAGCTCATATTGATATAGTCTTTGATGCTTTCGTCTTATGTGTGTTTGTATTCTAGAGTTGGATAGTTAGACCTAGTTGGCGTGTTCTCTTAAGATGTTATGTCGTTGCCTTCTCATGTTGTGTTTCTTTTTTCAGGTAGAGGATCTCGACAAGACCAATAACAAGGAGGCAGTTTTTGGAGAAGAAAAGCATAAAAAAAGTAAGACAAGGAAGAAGAGTTTAAATCAAAAGAGTTAACTAAGCCAAGTTCTTTCTTGATGATTGTCATCTACTTAGTTTTAATTATGTTTTTAGGAGGATGTTGTATTCTTATTTTTAACTATGTTTTTAGTTTTATTTTGTAATACAGTTTATATATATATATATATATATATATATATATATATATAAATATAGTTTCATAATAATTAAATATAATATTTTTATTTTTAATATCATTTCATTCCATAAAACATTATTCATAATTTAAATATATTTAAAATAATTATTATTGAAATACAATATTGTATAAAACATAAATACTGTATAAATACGATCATAGTCGCAATATAGTCGTCAATTAGTCACTAGATTTGGCGACTACGCTACGACTACGCTTACGACTATGAATATTAGTCGTAAAGTAGTCGCTAATTGGCGACTATTTTTACGACTACAGTATTTAGCGACACTCGATTACCGACTACTATTAATAGTCGTTATTTAGTCGTATAATTACATTTAAAGACTAATTGCCGACTAATCAAGTAGTCGTTAATGAGCTGTTTTCTTGTAGTATAATAAACTACCAAATTACTCAATGCTTAGATCATTTGGTTGTCTTTGTTATGCAAGTACTTTGTTGAAAGATAGAACTAAATTCACTCCTCGTGCAAAACCCTGTGCTTTTTTGGGCTATCCTTCAGGTTTTAAAGGTTACAAAGTTCTTGACTAGCTACTAATCAGATTTCTATTACTAGAAATGTTATTTTCCATGAAAATGATTTTCCTTTTAAAGATGATTCACAATTGATTCCTGATTTCTTTGCTCATACGATTTTACCACTGCCTGTTTTTATTCCACATGATGCATTACCTAATGTTGCATCATCTTCTACCTCATCTGCATCATATTCACATATTCCTGTATCACCACCTGAAATAAATGCATCATCACCTGCATCCGCTGAAGAATCTGCATCACAACCACAAACAAGCATTGTTCCTGTTACTAATGCATCATCTAGGATTGTTGCATCATCATCACAGAACCATAATAGGAAAAATGCTGCTGTGGTTACTGATAATACTCAGATTTCTCTACCCATTGAAAGACCTAAACGGCAAGCTAAAGCACCTACCTACCTTTATGATTACCACTGTGCCCTTACTCAAATTTCTCCACCACTGCCACCAAATCATACCACTCCATATCCTCTTTCTTTTGTCCTTTCCTATAAATACTTCAACCCTACATACTGTTCCTATCTCCTTTCATATTCCTTAGAAACAGAGGCTAAAACTATTAAACAAGCCATGAATTCAGAGAAATGGAAGGGTGCTCTCAATGTTAGAAAATGCAGGACTTCTAGCCTGCAAACCAAGCTCAGTCCCGATTGATCCTTATGTTCAGCTTACTAATGATACTGGTGTGCCTCTGGAATCTGCAACACCATACAGAGAACTGATTGGTCGCTTGTTGTATTTGACAATAACTCGCCCGGATATCACAATTGCAGTACATAAGCTCAGTCAGTTCTTGCAGTTTCCAACCGATGTTCACTTACAAGCTGCCAACAGGATTTTGAAATACTTGAAAGGAAGTCCAAGCCATGGTATCTTCTACTCTGTTGATACAGAATTGTGCATCAATACATTTGCATATGCAGATTGGGGAACCTGTTTGGACACTAGAAGATCTGTTTGTGGTGTATGTCTTTATCTGGGAAGCTCTCTTATCTCCTGGAAATCGAAGAAACAACCAGTAGCAAGCAATAGTAGCACAGAGGCTGAGTATAGGAGCATGGCTGATGGTACACGGGAGATCCTTTGGGTACAGAAGTTATTGAGAGATTTTCGAATCAACGTCACTACTACAGCAAAGCTCTTCTGTGACAACAAATCAGCGATATACATAGCTACTAATCCGGTCTTCCACGAGCGCGCTAAGCATATCGACATTGATTGTCACACTACACGAGATCAGATCAAGTTTGAAATCTCAAAGCTCTTCATGTAGACAGTGAAAATCAACTGGCAGATATCTTAACTAAAGCTCTTCATCATGGCCGATTTCACTCTTTGCTTGGCAGGATGTCTTTGTCAAACCTTAATAATCCTTTATTATGTCCGGATTAAAAGGTTTGCGGGGGTGTATTATAAATATTATGATAAGTTAATCTTAGCATTTAGTAGAATGTTGTATATAAGGAAAACTTTGTATACCGAAACATTAATGAGAATAATAATCAATTTCCTAATCTTACTTTCTCTCTCTTTTAGCTCTCTCTCGAGTTTGTTACAGAGTTTAGATTAGGCTTGATAAGGAGCAATAGCATTGAGTGTAAATTAAATATGTAAAACTACAAATTATTTCAAAAGTCGAATATATACGTTATTTTTTCTTTTTGTTAACAATTTGGAAATTTGGAAATGGTAATGTTTTGGAAGGAAGCCAATAAGTCGTATCCCAAATATGATAAGTAAATCCATTGGGAGGGAGGCAAATAAGAAGCAAGTATCATGAGAGCAAAATAGTTACCACCACCGCCCAAACAACTTAATATGTTTGCATTAACAGACAAACTATCTGAACTGATTCTCTTTAAATCCAACTCACCATGACCTGCTTGGTTATCGTTTGATGTTCATAGTAATTAAGTTTATAAGTTGTAATCAAGATAAACTCACTGCAACAGTCTAGTTCTTATACTCAATCATTTATATGCATGAGATTAAGTTTTGCATCTTGTTTAAATAACAATATTTAAGTTGTTCATGGGTTCCAAAAGAGGTTATGGACCTGTTGCTACATTACAAGCAGTCCACCTGAGTTTTGCAAAAATATTTATCATATTTTAGGGTTCTTTTATTAATACTAGATTAGGGCCCGTCCGATGTCCGGGTTTCAATTTTTTAAAAATAAAATTAAACTTAAAAAAAAGATATATTGAAATTTTGTTGTAAGCTGAAACTATCTTAGAAATAAATAGAGAAGTTTTTATTTAGAGAAAAAAGTTATTTATATATTCGTTTTTTATTCTTTAATACAACTAATATATATATATATATATATATATATATATATATACTATAATTATTGTAACATTTTTTACAATAGTTTAAATTATAATCAATTACCAAAACATTTTCTAAATATTCATCATTTTATTATTGCCAAATCTCAAAAATAAGATTTTCACAAAATGTTTTAGACGCAATCCACCGGTCAAACCGTCATCTTATTTACATATATTTAAAAATCTACTATCTATTTTATTATTGAAAATGTGTTTTTTACATCCAATCATATTTTATCGTGAAAGTATTTTCTTTACCACGTCCACCTACAACATGTCTATATGAACGCATTAATCTAACTATATGTCTCATATAAAAACATATGTTGATCTCACATGTTTATAACTGAAAAAAGAAACTCAATTAAATTAATTTAAATCCTTACATATTTTTAAGTGGAAACGAACATGAAATAAATAAGAAAAATGTTAAATTAAATCATTACATATTTCTTTCATTTCTTATAATTCACAAAAAATAAAATACAAAATTAAGTAAAAAATATTACGAAAAAGAAAAAACATATATTGATCTCACATATTCCTAATCAAAAAAAAAAGAAACTCAAATATTTCCAATTGGAAAGGAAACTGAAATAAATAATATAAATGTTAAATTAGATCATCACACATTTCATTTTATTTATATAATTTTTTACACGTGTCAAAATCTGATCGATAAACTTGACACGTGTTACAATCATATGAGTTACCAACTTTGAAAATCAATCTTTATTTAATAAGATAATAAGATTGTATAATTTCTTAAATCCTTCTTTAATTTTCAAGGTATAAGTCATCCTTTTCTTTTAGAATTAGTAGCTTTAAATTAGAATTAGTAAATGATTTTTTTATTTTTATTTAATAAGATACATATAGTTTCAGTTATCTCTTTACTTTTTTAAAATTGTTTTATATACGATATATATGTATAGTTACCTTATAATTTTTATTCTTAAATTTGTATTTTTATTTAATAAGATACATCTAGTTTCCTTATAATTATTTCTTTTTTTTAAGATTTTTAGAATTGTTTTAGATGAGATATATACTTATAATTTCCTTATAAATTTTAGAATTGTTTTAGATAAGATATATACGTATAATTTTCTTATAATTTTTTTTTTTAATAAATAAATGGATGTTTTTTTGTGGAGCAATACTTGGGTTCACCCTAGGGGTGAATCCTTTTATTCACCCCCTTTTAGTTTAACCAATCAGAATTCGCCATATAATAAAAAAAATATTAAACTCATTTAATTATTAAATCTAATCCCTAACCACTTTTTTATAAACCCAAACCGACGTTTAACTTCGTTTAATTGTAAAATCTAAATCCGTTAATAAACCCAAACAGATATTTAACCTCGTTTAATCATAAAATCTAAACCCTAATCGTACTTCTAAACCCAAACCGATATTTAACCTCCTTCAATTGTAAAATCTAAATCCGTAAGTATTTTTCTTTTTTTGTGTTATTCGTGTTAAAATCTAAGATTGATAATTTGACATATGCGTATAATTCCTTATAATTTTTTAAAAAAAAATTTTTTAACACGTGTCAAAATCTAAGATCGATAATATTGACACTTGGCACGATCCTATGAGTTATTAACTTTGAAAACCATACTTTATATAATAAGATTTCAGGGGCTGTTTAAAAAGGTAATCTTGTTTTTTATGCCTAAAATTATAACAATTTTAGAATATTCAACTACTTCATAAGAATAATATCCAACAGAATTTATTCCTGTTTGTTTTTGAATTACTTTCATTAATTTATGATAAATGTTACGTTGTGGATGCTTATCTTAAGATTAAGAAGACCAGACCACAAATATTGCACCCTTCCGGAAATAATGAACTTAGTTTGCATCATAAAATAAAATAGTAGAAAAAAAAAACTGAAAAAGACAATAAAAAGGAAAAATATAATGATATGGCTTGGAGTCATATCATATAAAATACATAGAATTATATTATAAAATAAAAAAGACCATTCCTATTACATCTATAATATTAAGAGAGAATGAGGGGCATCATTTTGACAAGCCATTTGAGCTATTTTTCTAACATACGGCTTATCTTTTTGTTTTTACGTTTATAAAAAAAAAGTTAAAATCGCCAAGCAATCTTTGAATTCGACCCAAGCTGATCCGATATCCGACCCGTATAAAAAACGCGTGGATCCTTAAACAAACTCTAGTCGGGTCAAAATTTGCCCCGAACTAAATTTACCCATTATATTTAAGCCTTTCCACATCCTATACTAATATTTGGGAAGTACATACTAAAGATCATAACGTTGATTTTGTAAGAAATTACAATATATGCCATTAGAGAATTCTAATCATAAAATTTTATTCCATGTCACTAATATATATAAACGGGTCAACGGGTCAAATGGGTTTAAAGATATTAAAGAGATTTTGTTTATATATAATTCGAATTTATTAAAAACTGTTATATAATTCGAATTTATAAAGAAAATGTTATTTTGAATTATAGTAATCATATATTAACGTTCTAAGTTATTAATAAATTATTTGAAGAACTTATATACTAATCCATTATTCGAAAAATGTTATTGAAAATGATATATCATTGAAATTTTTTTATATAATTCGAATTTATAAAGAAAATGTTATTTTGAATTATAGTAATCATATAGTTCAAAAATGTTATTGAAAATGTTATATACTAATCCATTATTCGAAAATGTTATCGAAAATGTTATTGAAAATTGAAAATGATATATAATTGAAAAACTATTATATAATTCGAATTTATAAAGAAAATATTATTATTCACGTATAAAGTTAAGCAAAAGGTATTATTCGAATTATTATATCTAAACAAAATATATTATTCGAATTGGTGTATTGCTTCAGTTCGTAATCTTTTAGATAATATTTTCAGCTTCCTTAAAATATTTTATCATCAATTATTGATTTCGTTTGTTATATTCTGTTTCTTAGAATTTAAAATTTTGTTTAGCTTAATCACGAATGGATATAATCTGTAATTCAGTTTTCTAAAAATCCTTTAAAAATTATGTCAAATCTCCTTACTATTTTAAAGGATTTACTATTTCTCTTTGTTGACAATTTTGTCTTACAACTTTCCTTAAAGACTGAAGATTTTCAAAACCGGCTTGTGCATTCGATTCAAGATTCTTCATTTGTAGAAGTCATATATTGGAGAGAGTGCAAACGATTTGAGAAGATGAACAGTGAGTTTTTTTTATCGAACTTTTAAACAAATACTCAGATCTTAGCTTCTACCAAAAATGAGATCGAGTTTATAGCTAGCAAAATTTTTATTCTATATTTGATTTTATGATATAATCTAATTTTTTTGTATTTTTCGTTGGATTGTTTTATAGGGTGAAAAGGTCCATATTTAGTGAAAAGAACATGCCAACCGTTTAGAGAAATTTGTAACTCAAGGATATTGGAAAGTTATGGAGAACTTTGGATTGACTCATCAGAATTTGACCAACAGACTAACGAGTGAATGGTTTATTTTCTGATATTTTCTGAATGCCCACAACTATTTTTTTAGTTTGTATTTATTTAACCTTTTTTCCCCTTTTTCTAAATCACCAAATTGAAATTTATTTTTGCAGAGTATTTTAAAATTCGACACTTAATGTATGAAAATAGATATTCTGTTTTTTTTTTTTTTTTTCAACTCTCAAGTCATAAAAAAAATTCACTTTACACTATTTTATACTTTAGTCTGAAACCGAATCAAACTGCACTTGGTATAAATTCAAATTATGAATATTATACCAAATAAATATGTGTTCAAATATAATCCCGAACCAACGTTTCAAACAATTAGAGAATGTTTAAAAATAAAATATTTTAATAGGTTCTATTCATTTTGTAAAAATCAAATCTCGAAAGAGAAAGTACGGGAAATATGGGAATTATATCTGAATCTCTTACCCGTTCTCTTATCTGTTGAACTAGATTAAACATTCTCAGATAGAGAATAATTATGTGACGGAAAATTTCAAGATAGGCAACGGGACGGGACGAGACTACTTTTCCTCATTGTCTTTTCTACGTAATTGTCTGATAACAAAAACAAATCAAATCATTTACACCGAAATGAAACCAAACAAAATACCAAACTAATATGAATTCAAATTATGAATAGTATACCAAATAAATATCTACAACCATTAATCCGCACGTACGTGCGGATCCGAATCTACATATTTAACCAAACTAACAAAAGAATCTATATTGAATTAAATTTTATTAAAACATATTTTTAAATATATGAAATCCCGTACGTATGTATAGGATTATTAATCTTACCCTTATATCAGGTTTGAAGATTCTTATAACAGACAAGAAAGGTAAACCACAGCGCAAAACAATGAATGTAGTTTTTAAAGAAGTCTTTCAAAACCTTCACTAAGACAGTCATGGAAAGAATCTAAAAGAGTTCCAATTCGACTAGGTAGATATGTTAACTAATCATCAAGGTTTTCTCCATTCTTATAGACTAGAGTAGAAGTTATTTTTATAACTGATGACATTATGTGATTTTTCTATTTTAGTTTTCTACAGGTTTTGATCATCAAAATTAGGAATTGAAAGGATAAAGGATAGTCAAGACGTGTTTAAAGGAATAAGAGTTTGAAAACTACTCATCTGCACTTGAAGAACCAACAACATTAGATTTAAAGTTTTTCATTATTTTGGTTTTTTTATCATTTATTTATCAGACTCGAATTTTAGATTATAGAACTTTTTTAATACTAAACAAATGGATGCCATCACTCTGTTTAACTCAGTAAATCAATTCTATATTTCTATTATGAATTCAATATTCTAATCTACATGTTTCAAAATCAAATGTTTCATTTGTTAACAAAATTTTAAAACGATTCAATCATCAATCAGTTCATGAACATACTTAATCAATTTGTCTAACTAATAAACAAAGTTGGCCATGATCAATTACCTGGACATTTCTGTTTTGGTCTAATGTTGCAATCAGCTGTTCCTGAATTGCTTCAGGTAGACGATCAAACACCTTCAGGGATTGCTCAGTGATCTTCTTCTTCCACAACCCATTTTCATCGACAACCTCATTTTCGAGAATTTCATTCAGTTCTGCAATCATCTCTTACATTGCTCATTGTTTCTTAAATCGATTCAATCATCAATCAATTCATTAACTTAATTAATCAATTTGTCTAACTTATAAACAAAAACTATCGGTTTGAAATTTACCTGTGATCACCACACTGCAAGTTCAATTACTCGGAAGATATGAACGGATTGAAGGCAAGATCTTCAATCTTTGTCATGTCTGATGTCGAAATTGAAGGAAATTTTGGAAGAATCAGACATCAGTTTTCGTTGAAGAACTGTCGGAATTTTTTCCTGTTTCTGAGCTGTTTTCTTTTTTTAAACCATGAAACTTGGCCAACCAAACCCAAATACAGCCCATTAAAAAACTTAAACCCAATACAACAATTTTTTGTTTATCCTCTAATTATAAATACCTACTTAAACCAAACTAGGATTCAACCCGCTGTACCCCGCGGGTATCGGTTTTGATTAAGTTTTCATATTATATATTGAATAATGTGTAATTTATTATTTAAAATATTGTTTATATGTTTTTGGTGGTTGTTAAAGTTTTAGTATGAGATAAAAAATTTATGTGGTTAAACATGTGTATTATTTGTGTTTTTTGTACCAAAATATTGTATTAAAGTGAAAGTTGTATTTTTTTGGTATTGTAATTATTGTAAAAGTGTGTTAAATTCAAAAAACAATTATCATAACCAACAGTGTTATTTACTATAAGATCATAACAATTTAATTAAGAAAATATATTGTAAGTAGCTTTGCTTGTTTAAGATTTTTTTTGTAAATTATAAAATAATAAGATTACATTATAAAGACAAAGTAAACAAAATAAGAAATAATTTGCGTTTAGTTAGTGACATAAGTCTTAAATCGGTTTATTCGGTTTAGTCACTTGGTTAAATTACATATGTCTTTATCTCTGTTGGTACGACACAATCGTACATGTACATTTGCCCAATTCAGGAAACCTAATCAATCCAAATCGATGATTGGCAAAAAAAAAAAAAAAAAAAAATCTATCAAAATCGATTTCATCGTCTTCTCTATCTCTTTCTCTCTTCATCGTCATTCATCATGATTATCATTCATCATCATCAGCATCATCATCATCATCATCATCATTCATCATTATCAAATCTCAGGATCTTCAAGGTGGTTCTTCTCGTTCGTAGCTACCTTCTAGACTGTGATTTCCAATTTTCGAACTCTCGGTGAGTTTCTAGGTTGGGTTTTATCTCTCTTTCGGAAATCCTGTCACACCTCCGCTTTCAGAATTAGATCAATTTCATTAGCTTATCAGTTTTAATCAATTTGGGTAACAACAGAGGATTGCAAGAGCTGATGAGTCCACGAGTTCTTCCTCATCAGTAGCTTCCGGTGATAGAACCCTAATCCATGATGATGAATTCACTCAAGCCAAGGTTATATTGTCGTCAACCTAGCAAATCCCTAATCAAGAGTTTCTTCAAATTCAGTGTGTCAATATAATCGAGCAATTAGTGAAGTAGGCGAGATTGTTGGTGAATCCTATTTTCACGTTTTACTTAGGGAGATAAATCTTTACCTTCGATCAATTCATGTCGTTTTCTTCTTATTTTTCATCAAGTTTCAGGCAAAGACCAAAGTCACATGTATCTTATTAGTGAATAAGATTATTCTTTCAGGCAAGCATAGAAATTTTCGATTGGTACTCGAAATGCTAAGGAACATGTATCTGCCAAGAAATTCCTGGTAATGTTCTATTTCTTCATTTGGTTGCTAGATATCAATTAGTCACAATTTCGAAATGTTAACTATTGTGGTTAGTTATAGCATCTTCCTATCTCAGTTCTTCGATTTGTGGTTTTTTACATATAGACCAAAGTCACGGTCTTTTTTTGTTCTTTTCACAAATTTTTTTTATCAGAATTTGCAGATATTTAACCAAAGAAACAACAGATTAATGTTCTGTTTCTTGAAGGTGAGTTCTTCACAAAACTGTATGGTTCGATATGAAGCAGATAGTACGCTCTTTATATTCATACATCAAATGCCTTTTGGACCAAGAACAATAAGGTTAGTTGTCGACGAAGCTATATTTTAATACAACTTTTCTCATGTTATCATTCGTCTAATAAACATCTCGGCAAACATGCATCCTTGTATGTCTCGTAGACAACACCTTTGTAAGTCCTTAAATCTTCATCGCATGTTGGACCTTTTAGAAAAGGAAAGAGAAGTTTCAAATGTGAATCTCTTGATTGTTCTTTGCCTTCTTTGAGAACCTTTTTCCTCTTTGATTCCATGTAAAATCTGTTTTCTTTTAGATATAAAGGTTAGTAATAAGTTATAGTAGCTTTAATATGAAATTCAATTAATACATATTCTTGAATTAGTTAAATAACTTGAAATAGTCCAATAAACAGAAAATAGATTTAATTTTTTTGATGACGTTTGATTCAATATTATCATTGGTTTAGGATCGGAATAACTTTACCTCAATCATCTCAAAGATCCCTTTGATGGTTTCTTTTGTTCCCCGCCAAATTACAAAAATAAATATTTTCATTTTAAAAATGATACAAATCAATGTTATACAAACAATTGCTTTTGAAGGATTTATTTAAAAAGCTTACATGTCGAAGGTTTCACCAAATTTTGTGGTGTATGTCTTCTAGGTACGAAAGACTATCACTTGGATTGGTCGTAAATTTTTTCCATGTATGCAAGACACTGACTTGCACTTACCAACCCGTTTTGTACGGCTTCACATTATCAAGGAAAGCAAAAGATGAGACATTGTCAAAAGGAGAAGAAAGAGACGTTTGCTGTGAATAGAGGTAATTGCTGGATGAAAATGGTATATGAGAATGACGTTAATATATAGTATAGAAGGAGGGTAGGGTTTTTGGCTCGAGTATCTTCGAAAATCTTGGAGAGAAAGTTCAAATATCTTAATTATTAGCGAAAATATATTTTTGAGAAGGTATCCAAATAAATGATACACGGATTTAAGGGAAATAAGGATATTGAGTAGTAGGTTATAGTTAGGATTTAAGAGGAGAGAAGATTTTGGAAATATTTGATTATCAATTAGGCGAGATTTATAGATATCTTATTATATAAAGTATGGTTTTCAAAGTTAATAACTCACGAGATCGTGACACGTGTCAAATATTTCGATCTCAGATTTCGTCATGTGTCAAATAAATTTTCTTTTTTAATAAAAAAAGTAAAAAAATAATTATAAGAAAATTATAAATGTAAGTTATAAATTATAAAGTAACTAAGGGCCTGACTGGTTTAAACGCAGAGGTTGCGGTTACGGTTGCGGGAGTTTGCGGAAGCGGGCGGTTGCTGTTTCAAGCGTTACCAAGTGTTTTGAACGACTGGTTTAGCATTTGAAAATGGATGCGTTTGCGGAAGTTTTATGACTGGTAAACCAGCAGGTGCGGTAGCAGTTAAATTAAAAAATGACAAAAAAGTAAAAAATATTACAAAAAAAAAAACACCAATATAATTATGATAATATTAGAAAAATTGAACATGCTTAATAATTAAAACCATAAATAAAGTACTATATAATTATTTAAAAATAAAGAAATTTTGTAATAAGATAGTACTTTATGCTGGGTTAACAACAAAAATTGCATCAAGTATTGGGACAAACTGTAAATAACGTTGAATTCAATCAAAAAACAAGTGATTTTCTATTTGAAAAACCAAATCGAAACATATATTCAATCAAAAAGCAAAACAATACATAATGAAAAGAAAAAAAGATGCCATGAAAAATATTCAAAGAGTTACACATGAGGTGATGAATGAATAAAAGGATATATGATACTTACGTTTGATTCTTGATTTTCATCAGTTTGGGTGGAAGACCTTAAGAAAATAAGGTTTTAGAATATTGATTAGGGTTTCTGATGAAAACGTGATACAAAGATGAAAGATATATATATATATATATATATATATGATTAATATATTTTATAATAATTATAAGTAAACGTTTGATTTTTTTTTTTTAAATTCAACCGCTACCGCCCGCAACCGCAAACGCTTGCGGGAAGGAGCTTCTGAAATTCAGCGATTTCGAGCGGTTTGAAGCGGTACAGAACGGTTTCTATGATTGGTACCAACCGCTAACAACCGCAACCAACCGCTAACAACCGCTAGGAGGGTGCTAGCGGGAGAACCAATCAAGCCCTAACACTTGACTCAAAAATAATTAAGGAAATAGCTATGAGTTAAAAAAGTATGGTTTTCAAAGTTAGTAACTCACGAGATCGTGACACGTGTCAAATATTTTGATCTCAGATTTTGCCATGTGTCAAATAAATTTTCCTTTTTAATAAAAAAGTAAAAAGATAATTATAAGAAAATTATAATAAATTATAAAGTAACTAACATTTGACTCAAAAATAATTAAAAAATAGCCATGAGTTAAAAAAGTATGGTTTTCAAAGTTAGTAACTCACGAGATCGTGACACGTGTCAAATATTTCGATCTCAAATTTTGCCATGTGTCAAATAAATTTTTCTTTTTAATAAAAAAGTAAAAAGATAATTATAAGAAAATTATAAATGTAAATTATAAATTATAAAGTAAAAAACACTCAAAAATAATTAAGAAAATAGCCATGAGTTAAAAAAAGTATGGTTTTCAAAGTTAGTAACTCACGAAATCGTGACATGTGTCAAATATTTCGATCACAGATTTTACCATGTGTCAAATAAATTTTCTTTTTAATAAAAAAATAAATAGATAATTATAAGAAAATTATAAATGTAAATTATAAATTATAAAATAACTAACATTTGACTCAAAAATAATTAAGAAAATAGCCATGAGTTAAAAAAGTTTCGGAAACTAACGTTTTCAGATATGTGAAAAATCAAAATGGCTATCAAGCAAAAGACAAACATACAACTTCGTATTCTAATTTGGTGAAAAAACATGAAATAAATACTAATAATAAGAAAAAAAACTGAGAAAAAAAAATCAATATTAGAATTCTGACGACGAAATAGAGGTATCCAACAATGTCATTTAGTAAAATAGCTTGTCATACTGAAAGAAATAGGAGTAGCATGTGATTTTTATGGAGGTGATGATTGAGTGATTTAAAAAAATAATATGATCATGTAAAAATTACATGCATTTATCATTTGTGTAAATATATTATGTCAATTATAAAAACAAACACTGTGAATAGCAATGATTTTCTAAAAATTGTATGTGATATTCAGACCCAAAGAATATATGACAATGGATGCAAATTAAGAATTATGAACGGCGATGAGCATAAACTAGAGTTGTTGTCAGAAAGGCTTGCCCTGATGTTGGAGAAGATGATGAAAGTGGAGTAATAAGAGAATTTGGAGAAAGAGGAGAAGAAGCGATAACAGTGGTGTTGGTGTTGATGACGGTGGTTCAAGTTTGGTGGTGGTGGTGGCGATAAATGTTGATGAAGGTGGAGGTTAAAGTTAAAAAACTGGTACACCAAAACAAAAGACTGTTGAGTCAAAACAAAAATTCAGGTTAATCGAATCATTTATTTTATCGGAATTAGCGAGATTCAGTATTGATGGTGGTGGTGATTGTGATAGTAGTGAGATTCAGTATTGATGGTGGTGGTGATTGTGATAGTAGTGAGATTCATTTGTGGTGGTGAGTTAGAGTAGTGAGCCTTGGTGGTGATATCTAAAGAAGGAAAGAAATAGAGATAGGGGAAAAGGAGGGCGAGAAGGAGAAAGAAAGAGGAGTTCAAGCAAAAATAAAGAAAATCTAATGAGAGAAATAGAGAGATTTGAGAATTTCTCGCCGGCGAGCGGAAGGAATAAAAAAGAAAACGAAGAAATGGGTAATATGAGCCAAAAATTGACTATGCCACGTAAGTATGTAACTATATAAATTCAACTTTTTTTATTGTTACCGTTTTTTTCAATCTTGCCCATATTGAAATTATAAAGTGTAATACACTTTTCCGATAGATGTAAATAAATTATTAAAATTTAGTAATATAACGTATAAATATTTATGACTTTATAACTAATATTAAGCAGAAAATTATATAATTTTATAAATAGGCCAATATTTATATTAGATGATTTAATAATTAGTATAACATAACTACAAATAGTGTTTTATATTGTGCAATATGCATTATAAATCTATATTGAAAATATAATTAAAATGGTGCATTATTTAAAATATATATGTTTATATAATTTTAGTTATCCTTATAAAAATAAAATTAAAAGTTAAGAATGATAATTTCGACCGGCAACCCGTGCAATGCACGGGTCCTTATCTAGTCTTCTTATAATTAGTGCGAATATGCTTTTATAAGATACCATAAACGATGAATGGTTAGGATTGCATGTTATATTTTTGTAGATGATCAAACCCGATTACTTATCCGTTTTAGTATTTGAACCACTAATCACCCGTTTAGGAAACTCGCGGATCCTCTAATGTTTAATGAGATTTTTTGACCAAATTACCCCTGACGATTTTGATTAACAATGTACAAACTCCAAAATTGAAATTGAAATTGAGGCCAAATTAGACTTATTTTTCAATTTGTACTTCCCTTTTAATAATAAGGGGATAAATTGTGAATCTCATAAAAAAAAAATACAAATCTAATGCAGCTAAATATATTAAATTCTAAAATACATTATTCTCCCCTTATTTATTACCAAGTCATGTTTTCAACCAAATTAAGATTCAACAACTTTTAATTCTTATAATAAAATAAACCAAATATGATAAGGAAATAGATCTAAAATTAATTATATAGTATTATTT